ACTTGTGCTCCAAAGGGTGATGGGAGTCAAACTGCAAATACTGGTCTGTGTGTGTGGGTTTGCGGTACACCTCAGTTTGCAAATGTCCTCTATCAGAGACTGAGACCTCACAGTCCAAGAAAGCCAACTTGCCATTTTTTTCATCTTCTCATGTGAACTTGATGTATTTATCCACAGAGTTGATGTGGTCAGTAAAATGTTGGACTTCCTGAGATTTAATTTTAACCCAGGTGTCGTCAACATACCTGAACCAATGACGGTGGTGTCCCTGAAAAGGACGTCAAGGCTCTCTTTTCTACCTCCTCCATGTACAGGTTGGCAACAATAGGAGAAACTGGAGACCCCATAGCACACCCATGTTTCTGCCTATAATATTGCTCCCCATATGTGAAGTAGGTTGACTGCAGGCACAGTTTCAAGAGTTGACACAGTTGTTCTGTGGAAAGTGTGGTCCTGCTGCTCAGAGTGGTGTCTGATTTTAATTTTAAACTGACCACCTCTACTGCATCATCAACAGGAATGCACGTAAAGAGTTATGTGACATCAAAAGAGACCATTGTTTCATCAGTCTCCATGATGACATCCCTCACCTTATCCACAAAGTCCATGGTGTTCTGTATGTGGTGTTCTGAGCTGCCAACTAAAGGGATGAGTACAGACGCCAGATATTTGGAAACATTGTAAGTGACAGAGTTAATCATGCTAACAATTGGTCTTAAAGGTACACCTTGTTTGTGGATTTTAGGTAAACCATACAGACTAGGTGTTGCCTCCCCTGGGTACAGTCTGTGGTACAGAATACGGTCAATAGCCTTGTCCTGCTCCAAAATTTTCAGGCAATCTATCAATTTCTTCTTGTAACCACTTCCTGGATCTCTTTTCAGAGGTTCATAAGTGTTTAAGTCACTAAGGAGTGTCATAACATTCTCATGATAGTCTTTCTGGTTCAAAATCACTGTGCACCTTCCTTTGTCTGCTGGGAGAATGATGATGTTTTTGTCCTTGCTAAGAGTGGTGAGTGCATCCCTCTCCTCTCTACTGATGTTGGAAGGTGGTGGTTTGGCATTGCTGAGGCAGGCTGAAACTTTGATTCTGAGCTGTTCTGCTTCAGCCTCTTTAATTTTGTTGTTGCGGATGGCTGACTCAGTAGCTGTGATCATCTCCGCCAGAGGAATTCTACTTTTTTAGAATATACATGGAGCTTCAACTGCTGCCAGTTTTAGGATTAAATCATTAAAAAATTCTGGGTTGTCTAAGTTTGGGCCATATAAAGATACAAGTATTACCCTGTTTGTATTTATTATGCAATCTATCAAAATTAATCTGCCAGATCTGTCATTTTCCATATAATTTAACCGAAGTCTGAGGTTTTTATTGATAAGCAAAGCTACACCTCTGGCTTTGGATGAAAAAGAAGAATAAAATACGTGACCAACCTAATCCCTGCACCACTTTAAATGTTCTATATCTGTGAGATGAGTCTCTTGAATAAAGGCGATGTCTGTGCTTTGTTTCTTAAAGTATGTTATAACTTTTTTCCTTTTAATGGGGTTGTTAATCCCTCTAACATTCAATGAAATACAATTTAGTAGTCCTGTCTTTTTCATTTTAAGTATTATGAAAAAATATTCTGGTTAAGTGACAACATGAGATGCACATAACTTGGAGAAAATAAAGAGATCTCTGACCCTTTGCTAAAGGTTTACAAATTTCAATACTCACAGAATGAACCTCATAGAGAGAGTATCCCACAAACCCCAAGAAAACAAAAAAAACAAAAAAACAAACACACTTAAACCCCCCAGTAAACAAAAAACAAATTGTGGGTTAAACTCCGCTTCTAAACGTTTGTGGTATCCTCAGCAGAGAACTATTTTTCTAAGGAAGAATGATAGGATTGCTCCGGCAAAAAAAAAAAAATAAATCACTCAAGAACTGTATTAACGCTAATAAAATCTACTTAACGCATATGTGATGTTATCAGACACAGGAGCGCCCGATATTACACTCAATGGTTTAACATTTGAGGAACAGCTAGTAATTATGGATTATCTTATGTGACCTTGTTTTACCATTAACAGTCCTGGTGCGTTGTCATCTTGCAAAGAGAATGTTCTATCCCTCCTCCCGAACAGTGGACAGGAAGGTCTCCACCTCAGATGGGGCTGAAAAAAGTTTAAATCCTCCTCCGTGTCGGATCCTCAGTTTAGCAGGGTAGCGGCTGGCGTATTCAATATTTTTCTCCCGTAGTTTTTTCTTCACCTCGTTGAAAGCTAGCATTTTGTGTTGCACCTCGATGCTGTAATCTGGGTAAAATGAGACTCGACTATTATCCAACTGTACCGTCCCCTTGTTTCTGGCCAAACGGAGCACTTTGTCTTTGTCCCTGAAATTCAGAAACTTCACGAGGATAGGTCTGGTCCGCTCCGACGCTATCCCCAGGCGGTTTGCCCTCTCGATGGTAATCGGGGCTGGGAAGTGTTCCTCCCCGAGAAGTCGTGGGATTAGTCGTTCCACAAAACCAACCATGTCGTTACCTTCGGACCTTTCTGGAATGTTTATAATCTTGACATTTGATCTCCTGCTCCGGTTTTCCAAGTAGTCCGTTTTCTCCTTCAGGAAACTTATTTCCTTCTCCATTTTAAGTATGCATGCTTGTGCGTCAGAGAGGTTGTCTTCGTTAGCTCCAATTCTGGTCTCCATTTCCTGCACCTGTTCAGCCAGCGTTGACAATGACTGTTCTATTTTTGTTAGCGATTGTTGGATATAATCTCTCTTTTGATTTATGTGCCCAATGAGCTCTTCTTTCGATTCACGGATAGCTTTCATCAGGGATTTCAATGTTGGTTTATCTTGATCAGTCGCCATCTTCCCCACGTGTGAGAGGACTTTCTCTTGAGCCAATGAAAAACTTCCAAAAACTGCTAAAATTCAGCACCACTTAGTCAGGTTCGAGTAGTAAGTATTTGTCCACTGTTTCAGGAATAAATTCTATATCTGGAGCAATGTAGTAGTTAGTATAAAGCCATCACTGCTGAGGTATACCTGGAGCTCACGACACACGTCTGCCTACAGCGGCTGCATCACGTGACTCCCTGAAACTTTGTTTGAGCTTTCTGCTCAGAGACTGGGTGTCTGTCTCTCAGAAAAGAGGGTTAATTAAGACTCTTAATTAATTAAGGTGGTTTATAATACAGTCAGTGTGGTTCAGGATGTCGACCTGAACTGTAGCTTTAACACACAGAGAAGAGAGGTAAGAGACGCGGTGTCTCTCTCTTTTGAGCGTTCTGTCTCTGAAGACAGTTTGTCCTTTTGCTGGACCTTGGATGGACGCTACAGCCCCCTTCCGCCAAAAAGGGTGGGGGTGGCGTAACAGCCGTTTATTGTATTTTTTATTCTGGGAAACTAAAATTCAAAAGCCAATTCTGTTTATAATTAGTGTTTTTTTTCCTTAAGCTTTATTTTTTCCATTTACCCTTTATTTATACAGTAGTCTCATTGAGTCATGAAAACCCATGTTCAAGAGAGACCTGTTTTTGGGAGCAAATGGTGGAGGTTAAGGGCCTTGCTCAGGGGCCCAGAGTGGGGCAAATGAGACCTTTGTGGGTTTTTCTTTCTCTAAACAAGGGCTTTGTACATATTTGACTGCCTGTAGAACTAAATGCAAACAAAAATGTAATGCTGACAGGCCAGCAATCCTCGGAACAGAAACCTCTGTCACATATTCCAGATATAGTTTTTAGTTTCTGTATGGTTATTTCCTTTTATATTTTGAGTTGTTCCTTCCTAGAATTTAAAGGTGCCAACAATTTCAACTTCTGACCCCCTAAATAACTACGGCAGATTTGTGACCCCGACATTCCCTGTCAGAAGAAAAAACATTTCAAATAAGCCAATAAAACCCAAATACAGTAAATTATTAGCACAAACACCCTTTATGACAATTTGACAAGGCTTTAAATTATTCTCTCCCTATGACATCAGGGACTGGATGGCTTTAAATTTCTTGAGTTTCAATGAAAAGAAGTCTGAAGTCATGTTGTTCCCTCCCAACGACACGATCACAAACCACTGGATCAACCTCTCCGCTCTAACCCTGTCAGAAAACAAAGAGTCACTAATCTGGGCGTGATAATGGACCCTTCCCTGAAGCTTAACAATCATGTAAACATGATTGTTAAATCATGTTTCTTCCAACTGAGGCGGCTGTCTAAACTGAAGCCCATATTGTCCAAAAAGAACCTGGAGACAGTAATACATGCATTCATTACATCTAGGCTTGATTATTGCAATTCACTCCTGTTTGGTATCAGTCAGACCTCCATTGCACGACTACAACTGGTCCAGAATGCAGCAGCCCAATTTTTAACCAGTACAGGCAAAAGAGAGCACATTACACCAGTTTTGGCCTCACTGCACTGGTTACCGGTTCACTTTCGAATCCAGTTCAAAATACTCATGTATGCCTACAAATCATAGAACTGCCCCCCCCCCCCCCCCCCATCTCTCTGATCTGCTAAAACCATATGTCCCACCGCGTTCCCTGAGGTCAGCGGACCAGTTGCTCCTCACAGTTCCAGGATCTCATCTTAAGCGCAGAGGTGACAGGGCCTTCTCTGTAGTAGGACCAAGACTCTGGAACGAGTTACCTCTGCTTGTCAGACAGGCCCCCTCCCTCTCGGTTTTCAAATCCCGTTTAAAAAACTCACTACTATTCAGTAGCTTTCAACACCAGATGATCTGTGTTTTGATTCTGTATGCTCCACACTGGTTAGTCGTCATTATCTGCATCGTTTTTATGTCTATATTCTGATTTACCTCATTTTGTATTTTGCTTGGTGTGTTACCTGTTGTTCTGTCTGTACAGCACTTTGGTTGGCCTTGTCGCTGTTTTAAGTGCTTTATAAATAAAGTGGTATGGTATGGTATGGTAACAACTATGAAAAACAGAACTGTTTAAATTTTTTTTTGAAGTGCCAGTGCCCAAAATTGCCACATACCTCGCTGTCCACCACCCCATTCTTATCACGGTGCGGCGCCTCATAGGCATCCATCTGCTGGCGTGAAACTTTGACGAGCCTCTCTGCCAGCTCCCTCCATCGCCCAGCTATCTCCACAGCAGTGGTCAGCAAGACAAAGTCCATGACCAGTCTGGCCACAAGACCCTGACAGTCCATCTTCAACAAAGCCTGGACATAACAGGAGAAAAGAGTCACTCAGCCAATTGGAGAACAGATGAGTGAAAGTCTGACGTGATGGAGAATCAAATCTGGGTTCTAAACAAAAAAAGGACCTGAAAAATTAAATTGGAGCAGCAAAATTAGGAACAAATTAATCTATTCACACGAGAGTCAAGCTGTTTTCCTACAAAATGACTAATACATCAACAAATTTCATTTCAATAACTTGATACAGTGCTATTTCACACAGCCTGCCTCCTAAATCACCTCTTAATTATTTTTTATGTGTTTTCTGCAGGAGAGATAACTGAAATCTTCCAATAGATTTATGTTCCGTATGAAATAAGGGGAGGAAAACTTTTAATCAGAAATGATAATTGAGGAAATATAGAATGAACAACAATGTTTTCCATCCTCAAGCCCCACTTCAAGGAAATATTGCAAAGGAAAAAAAAGGGAATCTAAAACAGTTGCCATTTGTTTGAGTTTTAACTGGTCTGGACAGGGGCACAGGTCCTCCCACCGGCTCCTGTGAAGATCACGCATGTGTCGATTCAGCCCAGATGATTGCTGATGGTGGGAAAAGTCAAAAACTCTGTGGAAACTCCGGCTGTTCCTGCAGCCGAGGCAACCTGCGACGCGTCATGGGGAACTTGGAAATACAGAGTGCATCACCAATGAGTGCATTCATGACACACACACGCACGCATGCACGCACGCACACACACACACACGCACAGTTAACCTGTGTTGAGATATGCAGACTTACACAGACACATGGAAAGAGATGATCAGATTTTGGCATAAATTGGCAAGATTACAATTAGTGTCCTCACCTATTTTGTCTGTTTTAAACTAAAACTAAATCCAAAAAATCAAAAAGATAAATCTGAATACAGAATAAAAATAAAAAGTAACTAATCCAGGCTCCTGAGGGAGGTTACAAGCTATCAAAGTCTAAATGATCTTTAAGAGCTACATAAATAAGAACTATATAATTTATATAAGAGCACCAGGGCTAAATTGCTAAATGAAAAAATTCCTTAAACATCCAGATTTCACACATGTCCTAAGAGTACGTAAGGAAAACCGAGTTAAAAATATTATGAGTTGAATATGTTATGCTTTGTGAATAAAGGTGCATGCAGATGTTGTTTGTGCAGTGCTAATAATTTCTATGGTGACTTTGTGCTAATATACTGTACATAGTTTTAATTGAATTGAATTAAAGGGATTCTATTTAGAATGCAGTGGACAAGCATATAGTTATGAAATATAAGAATTTGACAATTTAGTGTATAGCTAGCAGTTGTTTCATCTAATCATACTGCCTCAACCCTTTTGGAGTCCCAGGAAGTGGATAAGAGAGACCGGAGAGTGGTCCACACTGACAGGGGGTGAGTCAAAACAAGTATTCTAAGAAGGGAAATTGAGGATGTCTTTAGAAGATATTACGATGTTCAGTAGGGTATAGGGAATTTTGGCTTCGATTTTGGTTTCTGTGTTGAGTGTTTTCACGTTTTATGTAATTGTTTGTTTGTTTTTTAAATCCGTTGTACAAACCAGTAAGTGGGGTGACTCTGTTGAAGGTAAATGCTGATGCCCCAAAATAAAACTTGCTAACAGATGATTAACTTTTAGCTTGGTTTTTAATATTTGTATTTGATTGTTTTTTCCTTCTCAGCAGCCTGAAAAGACGGAGTTTGTGGATCGGGGAGGTGAGTCAGGCTGGGCCCACAGAATACATACAGATAGCCTCCACTAAGCCAGAAATCAGCCAAAGCAGACTCAAACAGCATCAGAGTTTTGCATCTTGAGCCTCTGGTCTTGGCTGTCAAATCGGATGTCATGTGTGTACAGGTTGACACTGAAACTGGGTCTGACCAATGTGACTTTTCTGAGAACTGCACTACTGAAACAACAGCAAAGAACTGTCGGCCAAGCAACAAGCTGAAATATGTGCCATACCTGAACTTTTATGAAACTATGTCCAGATGGGCTCCTGGACTTGTCATCGCCAGAACATCCAGTCAAGTCTCGCTGTATGTTTAGCTATGAACTGCTGCACATAGCTGAACATATCTCCAGGCAAAGGGAGAATACCCAAAGACAGAAAAACTGGTGGTCCAACTGTCCAAAGTCACTAACGACAACTGCAGCTTGGGTGAGGTGTCAACCCCACATTTGATCTGTGATGGTCATCCAATGACCTTAGTTTCAGGATTAAAACTGCAATTTGCTCTGACAATGAACACACAGGCTCATTTTTACATGATTTTTTAGTGGAGTAGAGTAGTACTGTTGTGGGTTGCTGGATTACCTGCCCTTTCTAATTACTTTGTGATAAAAAATTGTTTTATTACCTAAAAAACTCATGTAAAGGTTGCTGGGACTCAGGATCCAGGTGGGAGTTCAATATTAAAGATAGAGAGGTGCTGTGGTCAATCTCCAGCTGGTATCATCACTCAGGCTGATAGAGCTGTTACAGAGGGGTAGACTGAAGATTTGATCCAGACAGGCTAGATCCAGGCAGGGTAAATCCAGATGTGTGGTGCTGAATGAATGGATCTGGGTGAACAGGTGCATGGAATGACTGCTGATTACAGTGGGAAAAACAAAGGAGGCGTGGCATGGAGTGAAGGGAGCAGGCTTGAACTGAAGGATGGGTGATAGGCCAGATATAGCAGGGAATCAGATGCTATGACGAGTGACATGGGCAGGAGAACAAAGAGCATGAAGGCAGGATGGGCAGAAACATGGCGTGAGAAGCAGAGGTATGAGCAGATGAGGGGTCAGCGGGGGCCGCCAACTATTACAGATATGTAGTTATAGGTTGATTTTTCTAGCTGTAAATGATATTGAAACTATGCTGAGAATTTAGATTTACGAGTTTAAAGTTTGTGGTGGATGGATTGATTGATGGATTGTGTGAATGGATTAGTGGATAAAATTGGAGCTATGGGATGCAAAATTATACATTTCTTCTAAAATAAACAGAGGTGAAACAGTCATCCCTGTTTCAAAAGGGGGAGTTTATTGATTGAGTGGATTGTTAATTATACTAAAAAGAGAATCGTGAGGGTTTTTTTATATTTTCAACACAAAAAACAAACAAACAAATAAAATAATAAAAGAAGCGCTTACTAAAAACAGGTAAAATTGGAGCTCCAACTAACAGCAGTATTTGTCTTTCTCCCTGTGAGATGTTTACAGGAAGGAAGTTTCCAGGACCTGACAGAAAGTAAACACAGACCCTCTGAGAGGTTTTTGCCAAAGGTGGACCTTTGTTCTTAGAAGATTAATTAGGCTAATAAATGTATGGATGAATAGATGTGTGGATGGATAAAGGTACGGATGAAAAAAATGTATGGATGAGTGGCAGGGTTAATAATCATGAACTGTGAATGTTTTCTTGTTCTATCCAGACAGATCTCCAAAGCTGCAAGGCTGAGCTGAATAAATTAACTGATTTTGACCTTCTTCCATTATACAGCAGAAATAAATGTCTAATGTTGTATTGTGCTGTTTTGAGGAAAATGTGACCAAAGAAAATATATTGTGTGCGCATGCGCTTAATAAAATTATTTTCTACAGGCAAAATGAGGTAAGCAGAATAAAATAAATGTAACTAACCAACACCACTGATAACCTCCGCTATCCTTGCAAACCTGTCTTCTTATGATTATTTGTTTACATTGAATGTTGAAATCACATATTTCTTTATATTCTTAGATCTACACCTGTGAAAATGGCCATGTCGATGAAAGAAAAACAGATTGTGATTGTTTTAGGACCCTGTTGAAGAAGTCAAGTATATCCTTTTTCGAGGTTCACATTTGTAAATGTGAAAAGGGGGGGATGAAGGGATACTGTTATTTATGCTTACAATTCTACTATAAAACCAGAACAGTCTAGAAGCAATGATGAAGTATTTTATAGAGTCAAACCCATTTAGGTCAACAGGATTTTTAGGATTCTTGGTGGAGATAGAAAAATACAGAGTCACCTGTCTTAGAGTGCTGAAATTGGACTGATAGATTTGGAATATGTTTATTATCTGGGAGGATATTCCATGGTGATTAAACTTGGAGCTAAGATAAAGCTAAGAAGTTAAGTTGTTGGGATGATAATAGCAAATATAGTGATGGGGCACACAAGAAGGCAGATGACTTGACGGATGGAGAACCACACTGTTGCCAGGCAAAAATAGAAGTAGACAGGAAAATTAGAGAAGATCTGAAGACAGAACCCCTAGACAACGAAGCATAAGATGTTTTCAGGTTTTGTATTACAGGCAGTGGCGCAAAAAGCGGGTATGCAGCGTATGCAACGCATAGGGGCGCTGCACTGCAGGGGGCGTCAAAACCCTCTGTAGAAAAAATGTTTTTCTAGTAGGCATTTTCTAAATGATCAATAACAGGGGAACAGCACTGATTAGGCGCCCCTCTGCTCCTTCACCTCCCCTCTGCTCCTTCACCTCCCCTCTGCTGCTTCACCTCCCCTCTGCTCCTTCACCTCCCCTCCTATCGCTCTCCCTTCCCACACAGGTGGCTGTGAACACGCCCCTAAGAGAACGCACTCGGCGCGTTTTTTTTTTTTTTTTTAATCTTGAACTACCGCTCGTTGTGCACTTGACAACAAGATGGAGCGGCAGAAAAAAAAGCTATCCGGGGCGCAAAACAGAAAAAGGAAAAGGGAGAAGGATAAAGATGTTGGCGGGATGAAAAAAAGCCTTTCAATGTGGTTGAAAGATAGTAGGTAAGTATTGTCAGTGTATTAGCAGGACAGGAGGGTTTAAATATTCAGGTTAGCTAAAGCTAGCCTAATACACTGCGGTTGGCTGTTAAATGTTGCCTCCCCTATTGATGTGATTTGTTTAGTATTTTCTGTATTTTTATGAATATTTGATACATGCGCCTCGCCTGTCACACACACATATCCACACACTAAGTGTAAGAATGACCAAAATAAAACTCATGAAATATTAACACAGGAAAGCTAAACTGTTG